CCAGTAGATAGTTGTATGTCATAGTTGCACATCCTTCTAGTTGCTGTATGTGGGACGCAGCCTCAGCATGGCCAGAGAAGCGGTGCGTCAGTGCGCGCCTGGGATCTGAACCCGGGCTGCCAGTAGCGGAGCGCACGCACTTAACTTCTAAGCCCCGGGGCCGGCCCTGGCTCGAGCTATTTGAACAGGACCCTGGGGTGGTGGTGGGGCAGCAAGGTGGGGCAGCACCTGGCCCTCAAGTTTGAGGGGGCTTCAGTTTATAGCTGGAGCTCAATGACAACAGAGGAATAAGGGAGCCTGTCTCAGACGCTGATCTCAGTGAAGTTTGTTGCCCTCTGGCTGGTCAGACAGAGGGGTGGAGGCCCGAGGACCCGCAGATTCTGGAGTGCTGGCCCTTTGCATTTGAGGAGTCATTGACCTTGGCCTCAGAGTCCAGGCAGTGGATGTGTTTGTCTGTGTGCTTGCTTCTCCTCCTGAGACCTCCCTGTTTGATGCCGTTTCTGCCTCTGCCTCTGCCTCTCTCTCTCTGCCTCCACCTCTCACCCGGCTCTTCACTCCCTGGACCCCGCCATTACTCTCCCTCCAGTGAGCAGGTACACCCAGAAGCTTCGACACCAACTGGGCCGCGACTCCAGGTTCATCCTGTGCTACGCCCAGAAGGAGGAGCTGCTGCTGGAGGAGATGTACACGGACACCATCATGGAGCTGGTTGGCTTCTGCAACGAGAGCCTGGGCAGGCTGGGCAGCCTGGCCTGCCTCCTGGACCACACCACGGGAATCCTCAATGAGCAGGGCGAGACCATCTTTGTCTTTGGCGACGCCGGCGTGGGCAAGTCCATGCTGCTGCAGCGGCTGCAGGGCCTCTGGGCCACCGGCCAGCTGGACGCGGGGTTCAAGTTCTTCTTCCACTTCCGCTGCCGCATGTTCAGCTGCTTCAAGGAGAGCGACACACTGTGTCTGCAGGACCTGCTCTTCAAGCATTACTGCTACCCGGAGCAGGACCCCGAGGAGGTGTTCGCCTTCCTGCTGCGCTTTCCCCACACGGCCCTCTTCACCTTCGACGGCCTGGACGAGCTCCACTCAGACTTTGACCTGAGCAGCGTGCCTGACTCCTCCTCCCCCTGGGCGCCTGCCCACCCCCTGGTCCTGCTGGCCAGCTTGCTCAGTGGGAAGCTGCTCAAGGGGGCCAGCAAGCTGCTCACGGCCCGCACGGGCATCGAGATCCCGCGCCAGCTCCTTCGGAAGAAGGTGCTTCTGCTGGGCTTCTCCCCCAGCCACCTGCGGGCCTACGCCAAGAGGATGTTCCCCGACCGGGCCATGCAGGACCACCTGTTGGAACAGCTGGAAGCCAACCCCAACCTCTGCAGCCTGTGCGCCGTGCCCCTCTTTTGCTGGATCATCTTCCGGTGTTTCCAGCACTTCCACAGTGCCTTCGACAGCTCCCTGCAGCTGCCTGACTGCACGGTGACGCTGACGGACATCTTCCTGCTGGTCACTGAGGTCCACCTGAACCGGACACAGCCCACCAGCCTGGTGCAGCGGAACACGCGGAGCCAGTCAGAGGCCTTCCACGCTGGCCGGGGCACCCTGCACTCGCTGGGGCAAGTGGCCCACTGGGGCATGGAGAAGAACCTCTTTGTCTTCAGCCAGGAGGAGGTGCAGGCCTCCGAAATGCAGGAGGGAGACCTGCAGCTGGGCTTCCTGCGGGCGGTGCCAGAGCTGGGCCTCGGAGGCGACCGGCAGTCCTACGAGTTTTTCCACATCACCCTCCAGTCCTTCTTTACTGCCTTCTTTCTCGTGGTGGACGACAGGGTGGGCACTCGGGAGCTGCTCAGGTTCTTCCAGGAGTGGGCGCCTCCTGGGGAGGCAGCAGCGTCCTGCTACACCCCCTTCCTCCCTTTCCAGTGCCTGGGGGGTAGCGGCTTGGTGGGGGAAGACCCCTTCAAGAACAAGGACCACTTTCACTTCACCAACCTCTTCCTGTGCGGGCTGTTGTCCAAAGCCAAACAGAAGCTCCTGCGGCACCTGGTGCCCACCGCCGTCCTGCGGAGAAAGCGCAAGGCCCTGTGCGCACACCTGTTCGCCAGCCTGCGGTCCCACCTGAAGAACCTGCCCCGCCTTCAGAGTGGGGGCTTCAACCAGGTGCAGGCCATGCCCACCTTCATCTGGATGCTGCGCTGCATCTATGAGACGCAGAGCGAGAAGGTGGGGCGGCTGGCGGCCAGGGGCATCTGTGCCAACTACCTCAAGCTGACCTACTGCAACGCCTGCTCGGCCGACTGCAGCGCCCTCTCCTTTGTCCTGCACCACTTCCGCAAGCGGCTGGCCCTCGACCTGGACAACAACAATCTCAACGACTACGGCGTGCGGGAACTGCAGCCCTGCTTCAGCCGTCTCACCATCCTCAGGTGAGGCCGCCAGGCTCAGGGAGCAGCCAGCGGGGCCAGGGTGGGCCAGGCTCGGGGCACTCCAGCACTAGCATCGTGGAGCGGGATCTCCTGGATTACCCCAGGACTTGTGACCACTGGTCTTGGAACATCCAACCTTCTTTCTCAGGGTGGCAGAGGGCAAGGAACAAACCTTCAAAGTCAGGCAGACCTGGATCAGCCCCAGCTGAGTGTCCTCAAATAAGTTGCTTAACCTCTCTGAGCCTCAGTGTCCTCATCTGGAAAAAGGAGACGTTCATATCCTAGCAATTACAGTAATAACAACCAGCATTTATTGAGAATGGGTGATATGCAATACAAATATTACCTGATTTAATCCCCTTACCAACCCTGTAAGGCAGGTACTGTTATTATCTCCATTTTGGCAAATGAGGAAGTGGAGGCACAGAGAAGTTAATAAGTTGCTCAAGGTCACCCAGCTGGGCCATGGTGGATCCAGAATCATAAAGAACCTACCTTTTGAAATTCATGTGAGGCTCAGAGATAGCCCATGAAAAGTTTCTGGTACATAGAAGTTTTAATGACTGCAGAAAAAGCAGACTTTGTGCTAATTAGTGTGGGGGAGGAAGAAATTTTACTTTACCCTTTTAGGTTCTTCTGTCTGGTCTAAGAATTAAATTGACATGAGACAGATTAACAGGAGAAAATCAAATTTAACTTCGTATGTACAGGAACCCCACATACATGAGAGGGTCAGAGACAAAAAGGTAAAGTGAGGTATTTATACCATCTTGAGCTAAGGAATGGGATAGGGGTCTGAAGCTTCAGAGGGGAGGAAGATAAGTCACAGGACAATAAAAAGAGCAGAGGTTCAGTAATTAGAGGTTTGCCCTGCCATACAGATAGGTCATAAAAATTTATTTCTGGTAATAACTCTTATTATGGGCAAGGCCCCAAATTTAAATTCTCTAAGGGAGAGGTAAAAGTTTCTCTTGAGCCCACAGGGTATCAGTTGCCTTTAGCTCAAAATATTCCACATGCCAAAGTGGCACATCTTGGGGACGCCTGTTCTGAAGCCCTTCATTGGCATTAGTTTCCATGATCAAAGCCAGCAGCCCTGAGCTGCCAGGGATCTCAGTAAAGAATGCTGACTCTTATTTAGTTTCCTGTTTGATGGTTTAGAGGAACGAGAGGCCAGTCTGCTTTCTTCTATTAGCATTTCCTGTATAAAGTATACCTTGTAAATCTTTACGGGGGTTTCAGTTCTCCCTTACTTGGCTCATGCATTTCTGAAGAGCAGAGGGGATTTAAAACTGATTCTAGGTACCCGTTACACCAGTGCCAGAGTGTGAATTGTGTGGCGACAGTGGAATGTAGGGAGCCCCAGGCTGCCCTAGCCTAGGCGTTAGAAAGCCTGGAGTCTATTCTCTGGGCTCTCAGCCAGCACCTCTCCGTCCGCGGCCTTGGGCAGTCTCACTCTCAGTGACTCCCTGTGCTCGTCTCATAGGATGGAGTACACCAATGTGGTGGTCCTGCCCCAGCCAGCTCTCCCCAAGGGAAGTTTTCCTCCCCACCAGTGAAGGAGAAAGCAGGAGGAAATGGGCGTTTTGAGCTCCCTGAGAACATCAGTTAGGATTAGTTTCAGCTGAGAGTTAGAGCAAACTTAAAATATTGGTGGCTTAGATAAGTTACAAGCTTATTTGTCTCTCATGCAAAAGTCTAGAGGAGGGCAGTTCAGGGCCGTTGTGGTGCCTCCATGCCCATCAGAGCCCAGGCTCTCTTCTGCCTTGCTGCCCTGCTGTCCTCTCTACCTGACTTCCACTTCTTGGCTCAAGATGGCTACTCAAGCTCCAGCCATTCAGTTGACATTTTAGCCACCAGGAAGAAGGAAGGGCAAAGAAGGACACACTCCATTCTTTTAAGAAGACTTCTCAGCTATTGCTAATAAGACTTCTGCTTAGATTTCACTGGGCAGAACTTAATTACACATGCCCAACTGAAAAATGGGGGATTCTATTTCTAAGCGAGTATAGATATTGAGAGTGACTAGTAGCCTCTGCCACCCTAGGATGGCCATACAGTGTATGTACACACTGTGCCCCAGCACCAAGGTGAGTACTGTGGGGGCAGGGGTCCAGAGTGTCTGACTTGATCATTTTGATGTGGCCTAAAAATCAAGCTTTTGCCTGTTCAGCCTTTTACTTATTACAGAGGTCAGCTTGTGGGCCCAATTTGGCCCACGGCTTATATTTATAGGTAAAGTTTTATTGGAACACAGCCACACTCATTCGTTTACATATTGGCTGCTTCCCACAAGAGTTGAGTAGTTGCAGTAGAGACCCTATGGCCCACAGAGCCTAAAATATTTGCTATCTAGCCCTTTACAGGAAAAGTTTGCTGACCCCTGGTCCATTACCTCACCCAACCCGTGACCCTCGCCTCATCCCTCACGCCCATCCATCCTGAGCCTTATGCTGTCCTGCAGCTTCACCTAAATGACGGAGTGGAGGATTGAGATGATCAGAGTAGTTTGTTATAGAGATTACTTAGTGGTAAAGAATCATTTCACATTTTAGCCACATCAAAATATCCCGCTAGTGCAGGGATCTCACAACACAATTCCAGCGTGCAGCTGGCCTGGTCCAGGAGGTCTCCATCAGCCCGAGGCCCTCTTTCCCTGCCCCGCTCTCTAAGCCCGGCCTGCTGAGGCGGTATTTGCATTACAGAGGAGCTGGAGAGTATGGTTGCCGAGATCTGCCTCCTCTGCTCATGGCTGGTCATTTCTCCATTGCCCATGGCACTTTCCCACACAGAGCCACACCACGTGAGCAGTCTCCCTTGACACCTTTTCAGGTGGCAAGTCAGGTTTAGCCCGTTTCCAGATGGGGAGGCTGTTGGCATCGCGTGTGGGACATTTCGTGTGGGGACTGTCCTGCCTTTTGCAGGACACCTAACATCTCTGGTCTGATGGTGGAGCGTTCCTTCCCCCAGCCTCGTAACCACTAAAATGAACTCCACGTTTCCAGATCCCATGGCCCCCGCTGTGCAGTGGGAATCACACAGAGGTCTGGCTGACATGCAGGCCACCCACAAATGCAGAATATCAGAGGTGGCTGTCCTCACGTGTCCTTCATGTGTCCCTCATAGCTGTTGTGTTGAATCAGGGCCATGCTGTAGTCTCACCCATGGGCTGGTTCTGGGTGGGTCTGTCGGCCCCATGCTGACCAGGCTTTTTAGGGGCTGTTTGGCTGACTGCCATGGCCATTCTCCCAGGGAGCATCTATAGCAAGGAAAACTCCAGGACCTGTAGGCTTCTGGATCCTTGTGGAATTAATGCTCCTTCGTAGTGAGCAGCTGCTCTGATTTGTATCTTTCTTTGCTGTTTTGTTTCAGACTCAGCGTAAACCAGATCACTGACAGTGGAGTAAAGGTGCTACAGGAAGAGCTGACCAAATACAAAATTTTGACGTATTTAGGGTACGTATTTCTCAAGAACGCAGGGCCTGCTACGTGGTGATAACACAGGGCAGCAGGAAATTGCCGTGCATGTGGGTCACTGGGTGGTTGAGACCGATGGCCAGGGGCACCAGGAAGAGCACTGGACTGGGAGCCAGGCAGGAGTCCTGGGTTCTACTCTTGGCTCGGCCAGCAACCCACTCTTTGTACAGTCAGGAAATGTTGCCAGCCTCAGCCTCCTCACTGTGTAACTGGGATCCTAGTGTAGGCAAGTAGTTTTACAAGTGGTGACTGGAGGAGGCAGGGAGAGACTGTGGGGATGTGTTTATAAACGTTAGAATACTGTTTATATATTAGACTTCACGACTGTGGGTCCATGGCCCCTCCTCCAGAACCCTTAGGGCAAGACATGGATCAGAATTCAGTGTACGTGCTACATTGTAGTGACATGACCCATGGGGTCTAGGGCAATGGCCCATTTTCAAACACTTTACTGTTTCTGCAGCAAAGTGTATGAATATTCAAAGCAAGTGGGATAAAGAACATAAATAGCTGCACATCAGTTGCTAACATAGTTATGAGAAAGTTGGGGTTTTCAGAGCCTTGGGGATTTTGGAGTTTGAGGTAAGGGATTGTGGGCCCAGCCAGCCAGCCCCGCGACCACTCTTGACTCTGTAAGCGGGAGCCAGTCGGTCAGCTTCTTTGGGCCTCAGTTTCCACAGCTGTGAAAGGAGGACAGTGAAGCACATGATCGCAGGCTGCGCTTCAGCTCGGGAGCAGCACGTGACAGCGGGACGCTCGGAACCTCAGTCTAGTTACCGCTTTCAACTTCTTCCTGCCTTGTCGTTGCATTGGTATCGAGTGGTAAAATGATTAGAAGGTGGACACTGAGGAGGTTCCAATACTCAGAAAGAAACATTTCCCTCAAGATGCTGATCGTAATCTTAATCCCCAAATCCCCATCACCTGCTGGTTATCGAGCATTGTGTGCGAGGGTCGGGAATGATCTCACACAATCCTCATGACAACCCTGTACGGGAGGGAACTGTAATTCTTACCCTGCGGTTACAGAGGGAGAAAGGGAGGCACAGAGAGGTTAAGTAACTTGTCCCAGGTCATAAAGCTGGGAAAGTGGTGGAGGTGGCTTTGAACCCAGCCTGTGAGACCCTGGAACCCCAAAGTCTGGTCCATGTGCCCTTCCTTTCTCCTTTCAACCCAGACTTCAGAAATCAGCAGGCAGCGCATTCTCACTTAACAAAAGTGGTCATTAAGGTGACATCGGGAGTCATCAAGTCTCATGGCTGTGCTTTCTCTCGAAGCTTATACAAAAACCAGATCACGGATGTGGGAGCCAGGTACATCGCCAGAATCCTGGATGAATGCAAAGGCCTCATGTACCTTAAGTAAGTGGGGCTGGGCGTGGCAGTGTCCTTGGTAGCGTCTCTGGGTCACCCTTCATTATTCAAAGAACAAGTGTTGCCTAAAGAGCTCTCACCCTAACACCTTCTTCTGCTCGCCCCAGGGCATGTGTGTCAAGTTAGGAGGCCTGTGTGTGGAAGGTGAGCTGTGGGTGAGGCTTGGATTTTGGAAGGGCCACCTACTATTGGTGGGGGGAACGCTGGGCATTTTGATTTCATTAACTGTTGACAGAAGGAAGGCCACAGCTATCCTCTTTCTGGAGGTCTTCCCCTCCCCACCCCCGAGGAAGTTCTCCATTGTCTTAGTCCATTCGGGCTTCTATAACAAAATACCGTAAACCAGGCTGCTTATAAACGCTGGACATTGGTCTCTCACAGCTCTGGAGGCTGGGACAAGGTGCTGGCAGATTCGGTGTCCGGTGAGGGCCTGATGCCTTGTTCACAGATGCGGCCTTCTCACTGTGTCCTCACCCGGTGGGAAAGGGGGCAAAGGAGCTTTCTAAGTTCTCTTTTAGAAGGGCACTGGTCGCATTCCTGAGAACTCCGCCTCCGTGACCTCAGCACCTCCCAGAGGCCCCGCCTCCTAGTAAAATCGCCTTGCGGTTAGGATTTCAACATATGGATTTTGGGGAGGACACAAACGTTCACACCATAGCACCCATCTAGTTGCAAGCAAGAGCTTGATCCTTGGTACTGGCATAGAAGTGCCCTGCCAGCGGTGACAGAGCATCAGGCTTAAAGGCCCTGGTGCTGCCCTGGCGATGGGAACGCACACCTTGGCCTCCCTGGTCTGTTGATGGAAATGACTGATGCTCCAGAGGTCATTTAGAGAACGCCCAGGAAAGCTCAGGTCCCTGAATTTCTGCAGAGATTGTGACCATCCCCTGGAGAGGAATCCCACCTGGCTCTCCTCAGGGCTTCAGGTCCCTCCCTGAGGAAGCCCAGGCCCTGGCTGCTGTGGGACCCAGGAGACTGACGACACCTCCCAAGAGGGGCCAGAGGGGCTCTGTGCCGGGGACTGGGGTGGGGGCTGACGTTGGAGTCCCTCAGCTGGAGGCTGATGTATGCACGGCTCTCTCTGCAGACTGGGAGAAAACAAAATAACGAGCGAAGGGGGAAAGTGTCTCGCGCTGGCTGTGAAGAACAGCAAATCCATCTTTGAAGTGGGGTGAGTCGAGGCGAACGCACGTAGGTGTGCATGATACAACCTGTTCTGTGTCCGTGAGCGCCTGGTGGTCTTTTTCTACATAAACAGACCAAAAGGCCTGCCGGGCAAGCTGTGGGGCAGAGGCCAACGACAGCTTTTGTCACTGATGCCCTAGGGGCCCCACTGGCTTCTGCACGGGAAACATTGTGGGAAGTCCCAGTTGACTGCAGCTTCAGTTGCACAGACTTTTATGTAATTCATGCAAAAATCAGCATTATCACCGTCAGCAAATGGAGGGAGCTGTTCTAGCCCCGTGTGGTAAGTTTCCACGGGCAGATGTTCTTCGTTTTAAGAATTTTACATATTCTCTGGAGGGTTTTTTTCATTCCATTTTTTTTATTGTGGTAAAATGCACATAACATAAAAGTTACCATCTTAACCATTTTTAAGTGTACAGTTCAGTGGCATTAAGTACATTCATCTAGTTGTGTAACCATCACCACCATCCACCTCCAGAACTCTTCATCTTGGGAAACTGAAACCCTGTGCCCATTAAACAACAATTTCCCATTGTCCCCTCACCCCAGTCCCCTGCAGCCACCCTTCTGCTTTCTGTCCCTATGAATTTGACTACTCTATGTCCCTCACATAAATGGAGTAATATGGTATTTGTCTTTTTGTGACTGGCTTATTTCATTTAGCATAATGTCCTCAAGGTTCATCCAGGTTGCACTATGTGTCAGAATTTCCTTCCTTTTTAAGGCTGAATAATAGTCCATTGTATGTATATACCACATTTTGCTTATCCATTCATCTGTTGGTGGACACTTCGTTGTTTCCACCTTTTAGCGATTGTTAGTAATGCTGCTATGAACACGGGTGTACAAATATCTCTTCCAGACCTTGCTTTCAAGTCTTTTGGCTGTATACCCAGAAGTGGAATTGCTGCATCAGACAGTAATTCTATTTTTAATTTTTCTTTCTTTTTTTTTTTTTTTTTGGTGAGGAAGATTAGCCCTGAGCTAACATCTGTTGCCAATCCTCCTCTCTTTGCTGAGGAAGATTGGCCCTGGGCTAACATCCGGGCCCATCTTCTTCTACTTTATCTGGGACGCTGCCACAGCATGGCTCGATAAGCGGTGCATAAGTCCGCGCCCAGGATTCAAACCTACGAAACCCAGGCCACTGAAGTGGAGCGAGGCACTTGACCACTACGCCACTGTTTTCCATGGTGGCTGTGCTGTTTCACATTCCCACCACCAGTGCAGTTCCAGGTTCACCACATTCTTACCGATGCTTGTGATTGTCTGTGTTTTGATAGTAACCATCCTAATGGGTGTGAGGGGTTATCTCGTAGTTTTGATTCTGGAGGCTTTTTAAAGCTTTTTATATTGTTATATTTTTTTGTCTGATTGTAAAAGAAACACTCATAATTTTGTTTATAAACTAAAATATGAAAAACATAATAAAAATCATCCTTTCAGAAATAATTATTGTCAACATTTGAGGTCAGTTAAGCTTTCTTGCTCTCTCTCACACCTGTGTGTGCTCTCCCTCTACTATGTGTTTAATGTAGTACAGGTCAAACTATATGTACAGAATTTTATTCTACCTTTTTCACTTAATTTCATGGCACGAGTAGTTTTTTACTTGATTAAAAATGTGACACCATTCAATTGTATAGTACACACACTTTTTACGCAAAACATTGAAAACTCTCATTCCAGGGTTTTAACAAGCCATCCCAGGGGCGATGTAGGCGGGTCGCTGGCTTGGTGAGAGCGTGTTGCTGAGGCAGCCCCAGTCCGTGGTGATGGGCCCGGCACACCTGCTGTGCTTTCTGTAGACAGTGCCCTCAGCCTATTAGGAACAGGCCAAGGGCTGTTCTGAGTGTGCTGCATATATTAACTCACCTAATCCTCACAACAACTCTACGAGTGAGTGCTCTTATCATCCCCATTTTACAGACAAGGAGACTAAGACTCAAGAGATTCCGTAATTCGCCCAAGCATGCCCAGGTGCTAGGTGGCAGAGCCTGGATGTGAGCCCAGCATCTTACCATGCAGACCCTCATTTTAGCCAGACCCTCTCAGGTTATCTGCTCTGGGGGAGAGAGTACAGCTTTGTTATTGCAAGTCCCCGTGAAAACCACAGCAGTCCTCACAGTTCAGTTTGGTAACATGCTGTTTACACAAAGGGAGCATTGCTGATAAGGTTTCTGATTGTGCTTTCTGATCTTTGCTTCGTGGGAGACCACCTCTGTCTCCATGAACGTCTCTGACCCCTGCACAGAGTTGAACAGATGGTGGGAGTCCAGCCCCTCCACAGGCCTTGCTCTCAGGCGGCTGCAGACCTGTGTACTCTGTGGGTGACGTTTCTGGAACATGATGAGCTCGGGCTCTCTGACTGACAGCTCTCCGAAAGCTCAGGGGTGAGATTTGGCCTCTAATTGTGCAACTTGCTGATGGACTTCTGCTGCCCCTTATCCTTACATTTCCCTTTGAATTCGAAATCCAGAGCAGCTCACTGAGGGGCTGGTGTAGGAATTCATGTCTAGGCCACAGCTCCAGGGACAGAGCAAAAACATCTGCCCCCTGAGTATACAGTCAAGTTTTGGCCCCCAGCAGAAAATAAGGGGTGAGCGTGAGCTAACTTTTACTGTCTTGCCTCTCCCTCAGGATGTGGGGCAACAGAATTGGTGATGAAGGAGCAAAGGCCTTCGCGGAGGCTCTGAGGAACCACCCCAGCTTGACCAACCTGAGGTGAGCGCAGCCTTCTAAGACTAGCTGTCCGGCGCCTCTTGTTTGCCAGGGAGGAGCCCAGGGGAAGAGGGGGGTTGGCATTCCTACTGGGGGAGTATTTGTGTGTGTGATTTTTCCTTTTCTTTGTTAAATGTTTTTATTGACATATGAGAGGCACAGAGGAAAGTCCATTACTCTCAAATGTTCAGCTCGGCGATTTGGTATATGCACATACCAATGTCAATCACCACCCAGATCAAGACACAGGACATCACCAGCCCCTCGGCAGTCTCCCCATGCCCCTTGGGGGTCGGGGAGGAATTCTTAAGTGCAGATAAAACTGAAAGGGACACTAGGCAGCAGAGTCCTGTCCCTTCCTCATTCTCAGGATGGCACTGGGACAAGAGGGGACCCTTCATCTCTGTAGACAGACGTGCTCCTCCTGGCCCTCCTTTAGGTCTCTGGCCAAATCTCTGAGACTTGTGTGTCTCCCTATTGCCCATATCCTTCCTGCCACTGAAAGAGAATCCAAGATGGTGGGGGCAGTAGCAGAGTTCCTTCTTTGTGAGAACAGAGGAAACTTCTTCAGATCTCATTGATGGGCACCTTGAAATGTCAGCCCTCGGAAGCAGAGCTCACCAGCACTCCTCAGCCTGCAGTCTGCACTGTGACCAGGTCTCGCCCATGTTCCGTTTCCTGTCTGGCCTCTCCTTGAGCAGCCTGTGCCTGTCCTCATGTTCTGAGCGTGGGCTCTGGAGCAACAAAGCCTGGGCAGCGACTGGCGAGGCCGAGCACTTCTGCTTCCTGCCTCAAGTCGGCCTGGGCAGGGGCCACCTCCAGGAGGAGTCGTCCTGGCTGTTTTGGTTGCTGAAATGTAGCCACATGTAGATCTGTCTCTAATAATCTACCCCAAGTGTTTTCCTTCCTAGTCTTGCATTCAACGGCATCTCTACAGAAGGAGGAAAGAGCCTCGCGTGGGCCCTGCAGCAGAACGCGTCTCTGAGAATATTCTGGTAATGACCAGTCATTTTGAAAGGTTGGGTCTCAGGGATCATTCCAAAGATGGCACACAGCCTGCACTCTTAAGTGAAAAGCTGCCTCTCAATTGAAAGGGCTCTAGGCCTTTCCTCAAAGTTTGGCTGATAATTTAATTTTCTTCTAGAGGAGAAAATAGCCATTCCCAGAGGCACAAACAGGTACAGAAGGGGGAAGTGGGCCCCAGGAGCGTGAGTTCGAGGCCTTAGCCTTCTTTGCCAACCTAGGCCTCAGGAAAACCAGAAGGCTGGGCATTCTAACTGTTAGTAGCATCCTCAGAACACCCTCAGACAGGCCTTGCAGAGTCCAACTTTCATGTTGTGGCTCAAAACTTTCTCCCTTCCTCCTCTTAAACCGCCTTCCTCTCTATGCTGCCTCCTCCTTCCCCAGGCAGCCACATCAGGATTTGGCTGTCCTGCCCCAGCTCACCTGTCACCTGTCACAGGAAGCCCACCGTCCTCACCCCCCCTCTCTGCACCCCAGGGGTCTAATTAAGGGAATGTTGCCTTATGACAGTGCTCTTTTTTTTGGTTCCTTTTTCTTTTGGTCATTTACACTGTTTTGATTTTATTTATTTGTATTTTGTTTACTTGCCTATATTTTAAATTGGGTGAGGAAATTGTATTATACATCTCTGTATCCTCCTCTTGCAGCTCAGTGCTCATGAGCTATTGGCTAAATTAGGTCATGAAAATAATGAAAATGTCCTCATTATGAGAGTTCTGGTACCAGACCTGCTGGCCAGTAAATGCATTTTTAATTCCTCTCCCTCAAAAAACCTTAAGAATATGTGCTTGTTTGAAAAAATGTAAGAGACTGAAGTCTGAAAAGTAGGAAGTGAAAGTACCTCCTCCCTTGTGTTTTCCAAATATAACTTTTTTCTTCTAGCCTTTGAAAGTATATTCTAGCCTTCTAGCAATTGAATGTATATTCAAATATCTATCTATCTATATAGATATAGATATATCCCTTTTCTTACAAAATAGAATAGCATTTAGCAATTGGCTTTAAAAAATACCTTAACCATATACTGTCCATATTTTACATGTCCCTTTATGTCAGGGTTTCTCAGTCTCAACCCTGTTGACATTTTGGCCCAAATAATTCTTTTTTGTGAGGGGCTGTCCTGTGCATTGTAGGATGTTTAGCAGAATCCCTGGCCTCTATCCATTATGTACCAATAGTTCCCCCCAGTTGTGATGATCAAAAATGTCTCCAGAGGGCAGGCCCTGTGGCCTAGTGGTTAAGTTTGGTGCACTCCGCTTCAGCAGCCCAGGTTTGGTTCCCAGGCACAGACCACTTGTCAGCAGCCATGTTATGGTGGCAACCTACATACAAAAAAAAAAAAATAGTGGGGCTGGCCCGGTAGCATAGTGGTTAAGTTCGCGCACTCTGCTTCGGTGGCTGGGGTTTGCGGGTTCAGATCCTGGGCGCAGACTGATGCATCGCTTATCAAGCCATGCTGTGGTGGTGTCCCATATAAAGTAGAGGAAGATGGGCATGGATGTTAGCTCAGGGTTAATCTTCCTCACACACACACAAAAAAAAATAGAGCAAGATTGGCACAGATGTTAGCTCAGGGTGAATCTTCTTCAGCAATAAAAAAAAAAAAAGTCTCTATACATTTGCAAATGTCCCCAGGAAGGGGAAATCACCCCGGCTGAGAACTAATACTCTACATGGATAATAATAATGTCAATACCCAGCATTTCTTGAGTGCTGACTGTATGCCACACGTTATTCTCAGCCGTTTACATGTATTAACTCACTCACTCTCACACGTACCCTATAAGGTCTATACCATTACTGTTCACATTTACCAGTGAGAAAACTCAGGTCCAGAGAAGTTAAACCACCTGCGTGATGTCGCCCTGCTAGTAGGTGATACACACCCGGCACGTCTGTCCCCAGAGCGCCCTTACCCACCATGCTCTTCTGCCTCGTTCTTTGTGCTACCTCATTCTCTCTAAGGGCTGCACAACATCCCATCGAATGTACAGTCACAGTTTATTTTGCCAGTCGCCTCTATAGACAGATATTTAAATTTATTCACATTACCTTATGACCAATAATACCGCGGTCAACACTGCCTGTGTAGATCCTTGTGTGTACATCTTTGCACACTGTAGGGTCAATTTTTAGAAGTCTGATCATTGGCTCAAAGTGTAACCATCTAAAATTTGGATGGACACTACCAAATTGCCCTCCAAGGAATGATTTTTAATGTTCTTTCTAGTCCGTTTTTCTTATTCATTCTTTCACCCACTGGCACAACAGGGTTTAGTCCTATTTCCATCCAGAGTTTCTAGCCCTCTGCTTTATCCAGAGCACTTCTGGTTTTAAGGACAATTGAGAGACTTCCTGAACTTTCAGTCACTGAACTTGGGTCCTTCTCAAGAGGCCTCAGAGCAAAGCGCTGAACACATTTTAACGTGCAGTCGGCAGACTTTTCTAGGTCTTCATTCAACTGACTTTGGTAACACGCTGTCAGTGGCGTTCAAGGGATCTCGGGGGCTGGAGGAGACCGAGAAGCAGGCATGTGCACCCCTGTCTTCTGTGAGATCTGAGGGCTCAGCAAGGATGGAGAGCGAGTACGGGCTCCTCTGCAGCAGCAGGACTAAGAAGTAGGAGCTTGGGTAAAGGATTTGCACCAGAAATGATTCACTGTTTATTTTCTGGGGCTCAGAGGCTGGGCTTGGAGCATGGCTGTTTGCTGAGTTCTCAGCAAGCGGTTAGCAGCGTAAGCTGGAGAGACCTGGGCTGGAATCCCGCTTCTGTGAACTCATTAGAAAATGTGTGCCATGTAGGGCTCTCCTGAGTAAACACTTCTTTCTTTTCTAGGCTCACCAAAAATGAACTCAATGATGAAGTGGCAGAGAGCTTGGCAGAGATGTTGCAAGTCAACCAGACACTGAAACATTTATGGTAACTCAGAGAACCTTAGAATTTCAGACTGTGCTCCTTTTTAAAAATATTTTTTGAGATAAAAGGCACCTACCATAAAATTCACCCTTTTAAAGTGTACAATTCATTGGTTTTTAGTATATTCACAAGATTGTGGAATCCTCACCACTGTCTAATTCTAGAACATTTTACCTATTCACCTCCATGACCCCCCAAAACCTGTATGCATTAAGCACTCTTTCCCCATCCTTCTCCCCCAGTCCCTGGCAACCACTAAGCTACTTTTTGTCTCTATGGATTTGCCTATTCTGGGCATTTCGTAGAAATGGAGTAAGACTACATGTGGTCTTTTGTCTCTATTCCTTCACTAGCGTACATTTTCCAGGTTCACCTACATTATAGCATGTATCAATTTTTCATTGCTTTTTGTGGCTGAATGATACTCCATTTTATGGATATTCCACATTTTGTTCTTCCATTCATCACTTGGTGGACATTTGGGTTGTTTCTACTTTTTGACTATTATGAATAATGCTACTGTGAACATTCATGTACGTGTCTGAGTTTGAACAAACATTTTCATTTCTCTAGGGTATATGCTTAGGCATAGAATTGCCGGGTCATATGGTCACCCTACGTTAACTTTGCAAGGAACTGCCAAACTATTTTCCAAAGTGGCTGCGCTACGTGACATTCCCACCAGTAACGTATGAGGGTTCCCATTTCTGCACATCCTCGCCAGCACTTGTTATGCTCCATCATTTTGAATCTTGCCATCTCATTGTGGTTCTGCTTTGCGTTTCCCTGATGACTAACAATGCTGGGCGTCTTTTCCTGTGCCTGTTGGCCATTTGTGTATCTCCTTTGGAGAAATGTCTCCGCATCCTTTGCCCATTTTTAAATTGAGTTTTTTGCCTTTTTATTGCTGAGTTTTTAGAGTTCTTTATATATTCTGGGTACTAGACATTTACTAGATGTATGATTTGCAAATATTTCCTCTCATTCTGTTTTTCGCTTTCTCGATAGTGACCTTTGAAGCACAAAAGTTTTAATTTTGATGAAGTCCTATTTATCTGTTTTTTCTTTGGTTGCTTGTGCTTTAAGTATCTTACTGAGAAATCACTGCCTAATCCAAGGTCACGAAGATTAAACCTAAGTTTTCTTTTGAGTGTTATAGTTTTGTTACCGCCCAGCGTGGGGCCTTCTGCTCGCCACAAGACATGCCAATAGTCCAGAGGCAAGGTGGTAGGAGAAAAAGGACTTTTTTATTACAGCTTGCTAGCAAGAGGGAAGATGGCTGACTCACGTCCAAAAGAACCATCTTTAGGGGGCACAAAATCTTACAGCAGTTATATAGGCCACTGGGTTATTGGGGAGGGGGTTAGGAATGTTGACCTTCTGGTGTTACAGACTGGGAGTCACCACACCAGATCTTTCAGTTTTCATTGATGGTGGCTATCAGCATAGACTCTCTGTTCGGGGGTCATCACATTCCTAAGGAACTCAAAAGAACAAAGTTATCATCTTATCGCAGCTGGGAGGTACATGCACAAGCAGGGGTCGTAAAATCTACAGAGCTGTTAGATCTCCTGGAGGGTGCATATCCAGCTGGGTTAGTTTGTCAGAGGTCATTCAAAGTTACAATAGAGTTTTTCTTTTCTACAATATAGCTTCCCTATGTCAACCTTGTCTTGAGCCAGTATCAGTTCCCCCCCTTTGCTGTTTAACCCCTCAATCTTGAGGGATATCCTGTTGTTCCATCTTATTGAACCAGTCTCTTAGTAAGATGGTGATGCAGGTGGGCTCCCAAAGTGAGGCCTTTATTGTGGAAGCAAACAACCAGGTAATTAATAAGACAAAAAGAAAAACAAAGTTAATGGCGGGAGAAAATTATAAACCAGTTTCTGAATCCAGGGGACAGCCAGTCGAGAAGATTTCTAGATGTCAGCGCCAAAGCATCTTTGCAGCTTAAATGTCCCTGATGATGTCATTGGGTATTCAGGTGCTTTTCTGAGTGGCTTACACAGCAACAGACATGAATCTCTCTTAAGTTTATATCAAGTCCACCAGTTTCAGTTTGCAAGGCTTCAGGGAAAAGGGCAGGCTCAGTTCTCAGTGATTCCAAGTGAAAATGATGGAAAAAAATTGAAACATTAGTTTGGAGATTTGTAGCCAGATATTTCAAGAGACTATAAGAATTCAGGATCCAGTCTAGTGAATGGATATAAAACAGAAACCTCAAAGACAATTATCAGAACTAGAACCTAATATCCATGAATGTGTACTATAGTTTCTATTGAAACATATATTTTCCTCTCTAAAATCATCCTCATTTTATCAAAGATAGCCAAATTAAAACTAACCGGTTTGCAAAATAAAATAAACTTGGCCCAATTATTTACATAAGTACAGCAAGAATAGCCACTGATCATATAGGCTCTTTTAAATCTGCTTTGCTGGAACTCTTTATAAACAATCTCAGATTGAACTTTAAAGGCCTCTCAAGGCCAGGAAAGCCAAGCCAAGGACTTTGTCATCAGCCTTTGCCTGCAATACCTACAGATTTGGGTGAATTCCTCTCTTCTCAAGGTCCCCCGAAATATTTCAAGGTTCCTTGTACCTGCCAGATAAGTGACATTCCTTACTTATCCAGTAAATGCTGCTTGGAACACTGAACATAAGGTACCAGGCCAATACTTCCATGTGGCTTTATTCCATAAAGTCCAATCTTTGTCTCTCAGAAGCTGTCTTATCACATTCCAGTCAAAGCTTTGGTAATATAATAGATGTTTCACAATCTTATGCAAATAACTATATTGCCATGAAAACAAGAATACTCCCTTACTAAGAGTTTCAAAATCCTGGAGGGATCAGGCAGGGAGAAAAAGATAAGTGTTTCAATTCTGCTTACAAAGGTATAATTTCCCAAATTGCTATAAGTCATAGCTATCTCAGGAGAAAAGAGAAAAAGTTTTCCTTAAATCTAAAAAAACAAAACATTTAAAAAAATAAGCAATATTGCAAAAAAAAAGTCATAAAATTATAATCATCTCCATCAGTTAATTCAGTCCAGTGTAATTGATTCTTCATCTTAATCTTCTGTTGGCAGTTTCATGAAGTCCACAGTTTCTCTGTTAGAGTCCTGTTATTTCTTACCCAGTTCAGTTTTCTAATCTGCAGGTTCATCAGAAACCTGTATGCTGGAGTAAGCGCCAGAGTCCTTTCCATGAATTTCTCTGAAGATGAAACATATTTTGCAAAAGCATCAAACAATAACTGTCTGTAAACAACAAGACCCCAAAATAGCAATTGACAAAGAAATATGGTTAATTTTGTGACATACAATACTTTAAAATAATAACCAGAACCAGACTGATAACTAGGACAGATCAGAATTTCAGTAGCGTTATACAATTTCAAAGCACCTATATCAATAACATTCACCCACACAGTATCACCTAAGAAGGTTTATCATCACTTATTTGACAATGCTTCCCATGTAATTTAACATACCGAATAAGCCTAATAAGTTTAGTATCTTCCTCCTTGTAGGAGGAGAGCAAATATCTTTGAGAAGTTCCAGGGGCCATTTGAAAATTCTCAAAGAAAAAAAGTCAAAAGAAAGACTTTATTTAAGATATGAATTTTGGGGAGCTTGTCAAAAAAAAATATCAAAAGGTTTTAAGACATTTGATCAAATAGGAAATAATGCTCACTGCGAAACAATGCTCAGTAAGCATTTAAACAGTCAAGGGCAAACAGAGAGTTAAAATAGTCAAAAAAAAAAAAAACAATAGAGAAACCTCAGTCCTTTTGAACATAGGAAATTATTTCAACACAGTTTTTCTGTCTTTTAGGTAGGCTTACTCAAAGGTAAAGAAAATCTTTTATAACCTCTTTATCAAGTTCAAGAAAATTATCCGTTTAAGAGAAAAGACCAAATTTTAATGTTGTACCAGCTTACTTTTGATATTAAAACTCATTTACTTAATTAAATTCATTTTAATCTCAGCCAACTTGACCATGCATAAAACTCTTTTTCCAGAATTCCTCTTCCACAAATCTTCTATAACTTTCTTTTTACACTCAGAATTTGTCCCATGCCTTCCTGTCTTCCTTTCTAGTACTTTGGGACAAATTTATCTTTCTTAACCAACCAAACAAAATCTTTCCATTCTTTGTACCTTCTTTACTATACACATCTTACTTTCTTTGTATACAGAGCTGTTTTCTTTATTAATTTTTAGTAACTTTAATCACATATATTAATTAGAATTTTTTTTTTAACCCTTATAGACTTTGACTTCTAAGTAAAAACTAAGTAAGCAGTTATAAACTTTCTTTTATGTTAGCATTCTGTGGCTTGGCAAATTTATTTCTTGGCAAATTATTGGCAACACTTTTCATAATTTCTGGAAACATGTTACTTTATAGTACATTCTTTTAATAAAACACAAGTGTTTACTAATAGACCCAAAACACCTTTTCTGTAATAAGCCAAAAGTAGATAAACTTAGATATGTTTAGCAATAATGTTTCAGTATTTTATCTTATTTGAAAATGACCCAGATAGTCAATGAACTTGTATCAAAAACTCTAAAGTTTTAAGTTACCAAAAGGAATTTTGGAAGCTGTTTTTCCCAAGTATGCAGACCACAAAACATAATTATTGTACCTAAAAACTCTTATTTTCCTCTATCTAAATCATTTGTTTCCAACAATTGTCAATCAAACCAACAAACTTAAACCAGCTTTCATTTACCAAAGATTAATTTATATCATGTTAACTTGAAAGACATTTGGGTTAACTGCATTTAGAAATAATTTTTTTTAAGTGCCTACTTCAAGTTAATGAAGAGAGCTCTTAATTTTGACCATACCATCCAGAGGTAATATATCACATATAGGAAACATACATATACACACATACACAGAGACTGCACAGCTATTACTGCCATGAATCAGGTACAAGACTCCCCAGTTATGAATTCAAATGTTTGTTTTAAGCCTTTTTTTCTAAT